GCGATCAGAACGGGCACGGGAGGAATGGTGACGAAGACGGACAGCAGCTGTTGTTGGCACTCGCTGCCGGCGTCGCCGCGGACGTGCTGCCAGGTTGAGGCAGAAGGTCGCCTAAAACAGGGCTAGGATCGGGACAAATCGCTCCAGAGCGTTCCGGAGCGCTCTCAGAGCGTTCCGGAACGCTCTGGAGCGGCCGCGGCGCCCAATACATCCTCCGAACCCGCCGATTCTCAGAGATTTCGAGTTATCAGGAGGAAAAGAAGCACACAGACACAATTAATCGGAGATTCCCAGAAAATATGGGAAAATATGGGAAGTGGGGGGGAAGACAAAAACCCAGAAAATATAGGAAAATATGGGGATATTTTTATTTGTGTGTATTTATTTGTGTGTCCCAGTTCCCCTTCAAGTTATCCCGATCCGATTTTGTCCCGATCTTCGCGTCGTTTTATCGCCTGCCCGACAGCGGCCGCTGTCGGCTGCAGACACCAGTTGCCGCTGGGCACCGTGCCCACCGTGGGCGTGCCCGCCGCCGGGCAGGTCCCCCAGAGGCCTCCTCCTCCTCCTCCTCCTCCTCCTCCTCCTCCTCCTCCTCCTCCTCCTCCTCCCCCTGTCTCCGCAGGAGGTGTCGTACATGCACCGCCCTCGCGCCGAGGGGGGAGCTTCGAGGCCACTCGGCGGTGTCTCGTCGCTCTTGGGCCCCCAGGGTTCTTCTCCTCGCCACGGGCGGTTCCCCCCCTCGACTGTCTGGCCAGAGCGCGCCCCTGCAGAAGCGAAGTGGGCACCCCGCGGCGGCAGGTTTCTGGTTCGGCACCCGGGGGCCACGGCCAGGTGCCGCGGCCGTGAGCAAAAACACTCTGGACGGAGGTCAGCGATTCAGACAAAGCGCGACTCAGCAAGTAGTTTCTGATGAGCCTCTTTCCCACCACCACCACCACCAGACGTTGGAGGGGGGAAGGAGGCGGAGGAGGAGGACGAGGAGGAGGGGGAGGAGGAGGAGGAGGAGGAGGAGGATGAGGAGGAGGAGGAGGGGGACGAGGGGGGACGAGGAGAGGAGGAGGAGGAGGAGGAGGAGGAGGAGGAGGAGGAGGATGAGGAGGAGGAGGAGGAGGATGAGGAGAGGAGGAGAGGAGGGGAGGAGGGAGGAGGAGGAGGAGGAGGAGGAAGGGGACCCCCCCCCCTCCCCTCCTTTGGTGGTGGTGGAAAGACAAGCCCACCAGTTTCGCCAGCCCCCCCCACCGCGGTCCCAGGGAGCTCGGCCGCCCGAGGGCCGACCATGCGGGGTGGTCCCCCCTCCTCCTCCCTCCTCCCTCCCCCTCCTCCCTCCTCCCCCGGAGGGCCTCCTCCCTCCTCCTCCTCCTCCTCCTCCTCCTCCTCCTCCTCCTCCTCCCCCTCTCCCCCCTTCCCTCCCCTCCCTCCTCCCTCCTCCTCCTCCTCCTCCTCCTCCTCCTCCTCGTCCCCCTCCTCCTCCTCCTCCTCCTCCTCCTCCTCCTCCTCCTCCTCCTCCTCCTCCGCCTCCTGCGCAGCCCCGCCGCCGTGCCTGTGCAACGGCGCAGCGGGAGGGAGGCCGAGTGCAGGGACAGCGCAGGTCCGACGGCGCTGGTCCGAGCCAGGACGGGTCGCGAATTCGACCTCGTCTTCGCCAGCGCGGTGGGAAGGAGGTTGAGTTCATTCCCCGGTCTGCATTGGGGAGGGTCGTGATCGCGACCTCGTCTTCGTCCGCGCAGCATGGAGGAAGAATAGGAGAAGGATGAGCGAGAGGAGGAGGAGGAGGCGGAGGAAGAGGAGGAGGAATACGAAGACGAGGAGGAGAAAGACTCATGGGCCCCATCTTTCGGGTCTCCTTGGTGCTTCCTGTGAGCCTCCTGTGCCGGTGGACCTCTTGCAGGCCTCTTGGTGGCCTCTTGGGGCCTCTCGGAGGCTTTGGGGACCTCGTGGGCTGTCTAATGGAGCTCTTGGCTCGTCTGGCGCTCTCGGTGACCGTCTTGGGTGCTTGTCTGGGCCGTTTTGGTGCACTCTTGGAGTACTTCAGGGCTGCCTTGGGGCCCTCTTGGGAGTCTCGTGGTCGATCTTAGGTCCTTTGGGCCGACTTTGGGCCCAGTTGGGGACCCCTTGGGCTGTCTTGGAGCTATATCGGAGGCCTTTGGGGCCGTCACGGGCGGTCGGCAACCCAAACAAGCGAGAACTCCAACCGCCTTCAAAACCCAACAAAACATCGATTGGTTTAGTTTCCTCTTGGATGCTCCCATTGGGCCTCTTGGGACTTCGTGGGCTTGAAGCGCTTTAGGGCCACCTTGGGACCCTCTTTGGGAGTCTCTTGGACGAGCTTGGGGTCCTTTTTGGCCGACTTACGGCCTTGGGCCATCTCGGACGCCAATTGGGCCGTCTTGGGGGCCTCGAGGGCCGTCTGGAGGTCGTCTTGAAAGCCTCTTGAGCCGTCCTGGGCAATCCTGAGCAGTTCTGGTGTCGCCATGGTTATCTTGGAGGCCATCTTGGCTTT